GGCCCATTTAAGTAATTTACCAGATGCCTCTGGCTTTTGAAGGACTTTCCTGAATGGGTAATTCATCATCACATGGATTGTATGGGCGTGGAAGTAAGGTCGCAGCTTTCTGGAGGCGATCAGCGGGGCATAGGCTAATCGCTCCATTTCTGGATACTGCATTTCGACATCTGTCAGTCGCTTGCTCAAATAGTACACTGGCCATTGTGCCTTTTCCTCTTCCCGAATCAGAGCTACACTGGCCGCAAACTTAGAAACGGACAGGTACAGAAGTAGGATTTCTTGCAGAAAAGGCTTGGACATGAGAGGTGGTTTCCCGAGGTGTTCTTTTATGCTTTGAAACGCCTATTCGCACTCGGGTGTCCATTCGAACCTCTTGCTGGCTTTTAGGACATTGAAGAATAGCAAGCATCGATATGTTAATCTTGATATGAAGCGACTAAGTGTCGCTATTCGCCCGTTAAGGCACATGACCTGCTTTTTACTGGTCGGGCTCTCTATGTCGAGCAGAGCTTGAATCTTCTCGGGGTTCATTTCTATCCCCCGTTGATTAACCATGTACCCCAGGAACTTCCCCAGTGATACTCCGAATGAACACTTGAGAGGATTCAGCTTCATCTTATATAGTCGGAGGATGTTAAACATCTCAGCGAGATGTGCAATGTGCTCTGAGGCGACCTGGGATTTGACTAGCATGTTGTCCACATAAACCTCCATTGTTCTTCCAATCTGGTCGGAGAACATTCGGTTAACCAATCGTTGGTAGGTCGCGCCAGCATTCTTGAGGCTGAAAGGCATAACTTTGTAACAATACAGCCCTCGGTCTGTAATAAAGGACGTATGCTCCTCGTCCGACCCATACATTGGAATTTGATTGTATCTCGAGCGTGACTGGGAGCTGGATCATTCCTTTGGGGATCAGGTGGACCCCTGTAAAGCCGTAAAGAGGGATCAAAGCGGGCTTCAGGTCGGCCTCGTCCAAGTTCATTCTTTCGAAAGCGGTCTGGAACAGGATGTTCACAGTGCTTCCATTGTCCACGAGCATTCTGCGGACATTATGGCATCCTATTAGGGGGGTGATCATGAGGGCATCGTCGTGAGGATGGTGCAAACGAGCTGCCTCCTTCTCATAGAAGGCAATCGGCTCCTTCTTTTGAGCCTTTTGTGGTCGCTGCGATGTGCTCATCACCCTGATCGGGTCGTGATAGGCTTCGCGAGCGTACCTTTCCTGTGCGCCTCGCATGTTTCCTGCGAGGTGCGGTCCTCCAAAGATTATGTTAACGCTGCTATACCTATGGTGATCACGACACTTTCTTCCTTGTTCCTCTTGGTTCTTCTCTTTTGCAGGAGCGGAGTCATCAATGGACTCCTTGAAGTGCCCTTTCATGATGAGCTCTTCGATCGCTTGCTTTAGAGCTCGGCACTCATCTATGTGATGCCCGTTGTCTCGATGAAAGCGATAGTATTTTTTATTATTTCTGGCTGTCGCGGGAGTTTTCATGGGCTCTGGTTCACCGAGCAGACTGGCCTCCTCGAATTTATCAAGAATGGTTGATATGGACATGTTCAGTGGAGTATAATGAGCCATGTCGCGATCGCGACGAGGAACAGAGCATAGGACTTCTTGTGCTCGTAGCGGGGTTTCTTCCCTTTTCGTTGATTGTCAGAGTCCCCTCTGCAATCAGCTTTTCTACTTTCCCCCCGACCAGATATACTGCTTGATGCGCCGGGGTCACGACGGCGTAGTGCTGCCAATGAATTTTCTATTCGGAGGTACTTCTCCGCAAGGTTGTAGAATCCAGTGAGGGAGACATCGTCCTCAGCTTGTAGTTCCTTCCACAGGTCGGTCTGCGGGCGAACCCCGGCTATAATGAGAGTCCGAACAGACTCTTGGGGGTATGAGCCACCTTGTTGAGTTCCCTGTGGAAACGGTCAATGTAAGACTGGAGTGATTCATCCCTTTCTTGTCTTATGTTGCTAAGGTAGCTCAAAGGCATTGAAAACTTTCGGTTTGCTTGAAAATGCTTGAGGAACGGCTCGCTCATCTGAGGCCACAAACTGACCGACCCTACTGGGAGCGACCTGAACCATCGTTTGGCATGGGAGGTCAATGTTACTGCCAGACAGCGGCATTTTGCCAAGTCTGAGATCTGGTGAAGCTCCATCAGGTCGTTAAATTCGTACAGATGATCTTGCGGATCAGAGTTTCCATCAAATGTCTGCATGTCAGACATCCTGAATCCTGGCGGGAGTGGAGCGGCTAACACCTCGGGAGAGAAGGGGGATGCAGATGCGACCTGTCCCTGCTCGTTATGCTGGGCCCTTAGCTTATCTAGAGCTTGCTGCAGCTCTTCGATTTGCGATAGCAGGGCCGCTTGGGGGTTGCTTTCACCCACGCGAGTTCGATTCTCGTGGTTACGATTGAGGAATGCCCGGAGGTCAGGCTCTTCTTCGCCTCGGCTGGAGGTCCTAGCCACTCTCGACACATGCTGACTAGAGGCATGCGATGGCGATGAGAGGTGCGGGGTATTCTCATGACCTTCGCGATGGTAAGAACCGCCCCGCGAAGTGTGAGACCCTCTCGCACGGTGGCGACCAAGATTGGCTTGCTGACGGTGATAAGAATCGACTCGTCCAGCACTCTTATGGGTATGTACCTGCGACGTGGCGTGGGACAGCTCATGCTGCGTCTTTTCACCGAGTCTCAGCGAGACTGGTATTCTGCTTGGGACGCGGTCGGTGTTTGCTAGCCCTTTGGAGCCCGTGGGCTTGCTTTTTGCCACTTGCTTACCCTTTCACCTTCGTGCTGCAGCGCTCGTGGCACGGGCTATTTTCCTTTGCCGCGCTTTCGCGCGACCTGCAGGCGTTTTTGGCGGTTGTACCGCCGCGGCTGACTTGGATGGTGCGCCTTGGTCCAAACGGTCCAACCTTTGGTTAACCGGCTGGAGAGTATTGTCAAACCTCTCCAGGTAGCTTCTTATAGCGGGGTCAAGCTGTGAGCTTGATGAGATATCTCCCGCAGCATTCTACGAGGCCGAAGGTTTTTTGGAAGAGGTATCCCCTTGAACTTGGGGGGACCCTTGAGTACCCTAGTTGGTTTGCTCATTTCTGGTTGGCGGGCCATTCGTTGTTGTAGAACCAGTGGGTTGGAGACTCTCCTGATGAAGGATGAACACTAAATCAGGCCCTCCTTCTAGCGCCAAACTGTTGATGCTGGATTTTGCACCAACGAAACGCACGTGCAAAATGGTGCAGGGAGCCCCAAAATCACATGTGAAATTAATGGATGAGGGATAGTAAATGCAATAAAGACAATTTTTAAAGTGGTTCGGATGCTAAGGTAGCAAATCCTACGTCCACTGATGCTTATATTGATGATAGGAGTCAGGTCGCTATTAGCTGACTGACGTTACAATGATATTACAAGATATTGATTGCTGAGAAAAGAGAGAAAGAGTAATTAATCGAGTGAAAAAGGTGCGAATCCCTTTAATGAGAGATGAATTCCTAATTTATAGTAAGATGCCTTGAGGCAATCATCACTAAATCTGCGAGTTGGTGGGATTATCCGTGCAAATCGTTCTTTATGTCACATTACCCACCTTCCAAAGTAATTTGCGCGATTTAGAGCAGGGATTGGACACGTGGGAGCGCCACAGCCTCCTGACTAGCCTGACGTGCACCCACTACCCTGACAGACGCAAACGGTGCCTGTTCCAATGGTCTGACTTTTGCGGGCTAAAGGGTCCTGACGTCAGCCCTTATATTTTTAGGTGTAACAAAAACAAACTGAATTTCCAACCAAATTTCCAGCAAATTATCACTGTTTCAACATGCTCCCATCCATAATCTTCAGTACTTGTTTTGCTGTTCAATGGCGTGGAGCTGTGCTTAGAGATATGGAAGGAACTGATGGTAGTATTATTGTGTACATTTTGCCTGTTGACAGATCTGGGAATTTTTTCCTTGTTCTAGAGGCTTCAACCTGTTTTTTTGTGGCTGCCCTTGGCTCTTTTTGTATAGCCCCCTAAGGGTTTGTGTAGGGAGTGTCCTGTGGTTCAGAGGATTGTTTTTTCTTCTGTTTTTTGTTTTGCCTTGCCTGATGGTTTTGTCCCGGGTATTGGCCTCTAAGGGGTTCTGCTCCTTCTGTTCGTAAATCCTTTCATCTTTATACAATTATGGTGTTTACATGTTCATTTCTTTGCATGTTTAATTGTGTGTTTCAGGTCATTATTCTTTGCATGTTTAATTGTGTGTTTCAGGTCATTATTCTTTATGTTTTGACCCATACAATTTAAAAACAAACTTAATTACAGAAGAATTTGGAGGATTCGACCGCCAATGTTGAAAAATTCTCTCCTGCAATGAGAACCATTGTGGCCGGATGACAAGTCCGTTAATCACTGGTCCCGTGAGAGACAATCACCGGGTTTACCCCAAAAAAATATTCATTGAGTTCAAGCCAGAGATGTGAATAAAGGGCTTGAAATATGGGTGGAATTGCCAAACCAGTATATCAAATCAAACTCCTACAAATTCTGAACTGTTGACATTTTCTCAACATTTTTTAGCCTCTTCCTAACCAACAACAAATATTTAAAAGTAACTAAATTTAGTGAACATTTGGTATACCAGGAAATTGGTTTCTAAAAAGGGATTGCTCCGAAAGGGTAAAAGGGTGTGTCCTTATATCTAAAATCATGGTCATGGGTGTTATTGTAACAGCTACAGACTTAAAAAACAAAACAAAACATATGAGCCTCACATAAAATCTGTTGGAAGCCCTCCAAAATAGAGAGTTTTTGTAACTAACTTTCGGCTCCAATCTAGTAACATCCAATTTTAACTTTCAAACAAACCAATACCTTAAATAACTTGTGTAAATCCCTCTATATAAAACCAGGAATCTATCACATGATCATATAAGCCTTAGAATTCTAGGTACCCAATAAACATTAAATAAATAAATTATATATATATAATATAGTCCCACCTCGGACATGCCTTCCTCCCCTAGACCTCCTTCAACATTCCATAGAGTGATTCATATTGCCTTTGCAGCAATTCTCGTCATTGTCACTTGTTTTTCGGGTCATGTCTATAGCATAGACGATGCCGAAGCCCCAGGTCCGCCAACAGTCTTAGATTCTCCGCTGCTGACAAGCAAAATTCAAACCAACCGCACAATTAAGGTTGACATCAATGGCGATGGCGATTTCACCTCTGTCCAGGAAGCCATTGATGCTGTTCCTCCAGGCAATGGCGAGTGGATCATTATCCATGTAAGGAAAGGGGTTTACAGGTAATTAATCTTCCCTGCCATATCCTGAGATTTTCCAGAATAATCCAAGATTCTGCAGATGATATTTTAAGGTTATATTAAATTGTAAAGTAAAATTTATGTTCTCAATTTTGGGTGGTAGAGAAAAGGTGCACATACCAGAAGACAAGCCTTACATATTCCTGAGAGGGAACGGGAAAGGAAAGACAGCCATTGTCTGGTCCCAAAGCTCTGCTGACAATAGGGCCTCTGCCACATTTTCTGTCGAAGCTCCCCACTTCGTTGCTTTTGGTATTAGCTTTAAGGTACGTGTTTTTCTCATTTCAATTTTTGGATTTACTATTTGAAAATATTTTCTTTACAAGTCCATTTGATAAAGATTATTCATAATTATCTAACCTCCTTTTGGTATCATTATTATGTAAGGAATCAATGGTATAAGCCCTGTTTAAATTTGTTTATATATACGATAATATTGTGTTCCATTTTTACAATGTAAAAGAGCTTGTTTGTCTGGGAAATTTGAGCTTAACCCGTCGTCCGATAGGGGAAGCTAATTTTTTTTTTTTTTTTTTTTGGTTTGAACACAGAATGAGGCTCCTACTGGGGTTGCTTTTACCTCACAGAACCAGTCAGTGGCAGCATTTGTGGGTGCAGACATGAATGCTTTCTATCATTGTGCATTTTACAGTACTCACAACACTCTCTTTGATTACAAAGGCAGGCATTACTATGACGACTGCTACATCCAGGGCTCAATTGATTTCATATTTGGCCGTGGCAGGTCCATGTTCCATGTAAGTGGTCAAGTTATATTTCATTTTCGGATAACAAAATAGGTTGAACATACACAAAACTAATTTCCATGTATCAACTGTGGATATTGCAGAACTGCGAGATTTTTGTAATTGCAGATAAGAGAGTTAAGATTCTCGGATCAATCGTAGCTCAAAATAGGGAATCAGCAGAAGATAATGCTGGGTTTGTGTTTGTTAAAGGGAAGGTGTATGGTATTGGTGATGTATATTTGGGAAGAGCCAAAGGTTCCTTTTCCAGGGTCTTATTTGCCAAGACCTACTTGTCTAAGACCATAACACCCCATGGTTGGACCAATTGGAGCTATGCTGGCAGTACAGAGTAAGAATTTATAGTTTTTTTTCCTGAAAATTGATGCTAAAGAAAAAGTACATTGTTGACAAGTCATTTAAATTGAGTAATGCTACTCTTACTCACTTTTGTAAATATAAAGCATAGTAAAGATATCATAAATATAGTAAGGGTATTATATGTGATTTTAACAAAAATGAGTAAGAGAAGTGAGTAAAGGGAGTGAGTAAGGCTAGCATTTTTCTTTAAATTACACTTCAAGGATTAATTTTGTTCTAACATATTGGTTTTTTTGAAATGGCTACAGTAATCTATTCCAGGCGGAGTACAAATGTCATGGACCTGGAGCTGATACATTTAACCGTGTTCCTTGGTCGAAACAGCTAACTGAACAGGAAGCAGAGCACATGATGTCAGTCGATTTTGTAGATGGAAAGAATTGGCTTCCAGCATGGCTTTGAAGATCATTGTTAGCAAGGAATGATCCAAGAATTGATGAAAAAAAATTCAAGACACAGACCGAGCGTGGTGTCAAACATTCTTATGTGTTAATTTAATTAAGTTGGTTCATGGTATTATAATTTAAGCTCAAGTATTTATGCTACAGAAAACTTGGCAGTACCTTCCGAATTGTCAAGCTACCTGTGCAAAATATGGATATAATAATAACCTTTGGCATGTCTGTAAGTGGGAATTGACCCAAAATTAGTTAATTAGAATATCTACTTCTGGCATTTTGATCCATGAACATTGACTTTTTACTTTTTTATATTTACGCATACTATATATTTAGGGATAGTAAGTGAAATTGGCGATCTAGCTTTCTTCAATTACCATATGTTTATGTAAGAGAGGCAAAATCATGTGAAAGGAAAATCTAGGATTAGCATTGCCATAATAAGTGAAACATGTCTCAAATTATTGTGAAGGAATTATTACTTGATAAGACCCTTTGGCCTTTGTCTTACTAGAATCCTCTGAAATAAATTATACAAACAAAAACATGCTTGAAAGAAATTATCCTGACGAGGGAATTCTCTGAAATTACAGCAGTGCATAACTACTTATGCCATTCAGCAATTCCCATTCGTTCATCCCATCACAAGCTGGCGAATATTCAACGGCGAGATAAAATTTGAGCCACCATCCATTAAATGCTTGGCTGCAATTATATTTGCAGCATAAGAGGGATGTAATGCATCCCAAGACACATACTTGCTTCGATCGTCACAAACTTGAGCTCCAGTAAGACATGGGAATAAGCCGCCGTGGGTTCCCGCAATGTGGCAGCAGGCATAATCTGCTATATCAAACCCTGAGAACCAAAGAGATTTATATGATCCGATCAATGTGAATAATATAATATATGAAGATAACATATATTACACTCACCATATGATGCATAATTTCGAAAAATATCTTCAAAAATAGCATAAGCATCAGCATAAACATATTTTGATTCTGTATTACTTAAGGTAAGCTCAGCGAGCAGTGCTTTCAGTTTATTGTTATATAACTGGCCATCTTCATTCACGGAAGCAATACACTCATTCGTAGGAGGATTTATATCTCTTGTATGAGGTATACAACCAGCTGCACCAACGTTTGCGGCTATAATCTTTCTGGCATCTAAATTATAGAGTCTCTGCCCACAAGAGAAAATAAAAATTACAAGAGATTTTAATCATACCAACTAAGAATCCGAAACGAAATATTACTGAAAAATAATGTGAAGCCAAAACGGGGTCGTTTCATTTAAGTTCATTGAAGGAATTCTAGCCGTCAGATCAAGATAGATCCAAGGGTTGATATTTGTTGATATGGGCATATATAAAAGAAGCAATAGTGATGTGAACTGCCACATCTTTTGTTAATCTGAAAGGTTAGGGTTCGTGAGAGAAAAATTAGAGAGCAACTAGGGTTGCGTATTTGCTAGGTTTTTCTGGGTATAATCTGAGTAGATTAGAAAGAGGGTTGCGTTTCCTTCTTGAGGCTGGTTTTGTCCTCTGTTTCTTGCAGATTATTAAGAGATTCTTGAGCGAATAGGCCTAGGTTGAGTGTTGATCTGTTTTGGCAAATTTGTATGGTTGTCTTCTTGTAATCGTTGGATATTCTTTTAGTGTTGTGAGTATCCGTATTTTGGAGCTCAACGTGGAGGTAGTCTATCCAAGATTGGATAGACGAACCACGGTAAATTCGTGCCTTGATTTTGTGTGTGTGTGTTTTTTATCTTGAATATTGATTGTGTTTGTTTGTGTTGCGAATTGATTAATTAGGCTTGGGTTATAACAGTGGTATCAGAACCAAAGTTCTAAAGGGTATTTAGGTTTAGAAATCGTTTAATTCTTGACGAATTCGAACATTAGGGTTTGTCAGTTTGGGGGTTTGTCGATTTAAAGGTTCCTAGATCATTAGGACTTCGAATCTTGCTGAGTCTTGGAACTAATTCGTGAGATTAGGTCACAAACACAAAGGATCGACGAAATTCGTGCAAAATCGAAATTAGGGTTTTGTCAGGATTTGGAGGTTTTTCAGATTAAAGGCTTATAGAGCTTTAGGGTTTCGAATCATCCTTGAATATGGTCGAATTGGTTCGTCTGAGTCACAAACACGAGTCAGGGGAGAAATCTTGGTATTGTCTACGAGCTGTAGTAGTCTTGTCACTTTCGTCTTGTTTGATAAAGTTTAAGAGTGTTTCGACTGAAACACCAGTAACTGCCTTAAAAACTGCTTCGCAGTACTTGGCAACCTCTGGTATAACAACGCCACGTACTCCTTAGACTGTCCTGCCCTGTCATTACAATACAATGAGCACTACTCGTATGGAGATCTTCCAATACAATGGGAAGATCGATTTTAATACATGAAAAAAGAAGATGAAGGCCCTCCTTTTACATAATAAGGTAGGGCTTGCTCTGGAAAAAGATACCACCAAGTGGTCTGAAGAGAAACTGAAAAAGAAGGCTGAAGTGGATGAGGAAGCCTATAATCTAATCATAATGAATCTGTCCGATGCAGTCCTGCGTAAGGTAGATGGCATGGAAACACCACTCACACTCTGGGGTAAACTCGAATCCCTTTATTCCTTACAGTCTGCACCAAACTTAGCATTTCTTAAAGGAGTTTTATTCTCTTATAAAATGGATGTTACTAAGTCTATAGAAGAAAACCTTGATGAGTTTCTTAAGATGAAATTAGTGTAGAAAGGTACAGATCAGGAGTTAGGAGATTCTAGTTTGGCAATGATACTGTTAAATTCATTGCCTAATGAGTACTTAGTGGTGAAAAATGCTTTACAATACACTAGGACAGTTCCCAATGTTGACCTGATTATAGCTGGCCTGAAATCTAGGGAATTAGAGTTGAAAATACAAAAAATGAATGGGAATAACTTGTTTGTCAAAAGTAGGACAGATCCTGGACAATTAGGAAGGGATAGTAACAAGAATTTCCAACAACACATGAACCCTAAGACTAAGAAAAAAGGGAATAATAACAAGTCTAAGGGAGAAACTAGAAAGTGTTTTCATTGTAATGAACCAGGCCACCTTAAGAATAATTGCTATGATTGGATAAAGAAACAAAAATAGCATAATACAGAGAGTAATTTAGCTAGCACTAGCACCGGCATTGAAATTTCAGAAGCCCTCACTGTCTCAAACCAAGCTAGTAGTAAGGAATGGGTTCTAGATTCGGGATGCACCTTTCATATGAGCCCAAACATCCAATGGTTCCAGAACTTTAGGAAAGGAGAGTTAGAAACTGTTTTCATGGGTAATAATAATTCTTGTAAGGTTCAAGGCATAGGAAACATAACCATTAGGTTAAATAATGGTAAAGTCATAATGTTAACTAGAGTAAGGTATATAGCTGACCTTAAAAGAAACCTGATTTCATTAGGAACTTTGGATGAAGCTGGATGTAGTTATAAGGCAGAAAAAGGGTTCATAGTTGTGTATAAGAATAATGAAATTTTGCTTGAAGGGGTCAAACAAAATGGGCTGTACATTCTGTGTGATCAACATTGTGCATTCACTATAAATTCTGCTTTATCATCTACTAATCTGACTGCTACAGAGAAATGACATTTGAGACTTGGCCACATAGGCCAAAAAGGTATGATAGTGTTAAGCCAACAAGGCTATTTTGGTAAGGAATCCATATCTGAATTAACTTTCTGTGAAGTTTGTGTGTTGGGAAAATAGCACAGAATGAGTTTCCAAAAGGGAACTCATCTGGCTGAAAAAGGGTTGGATTTGTACATGCAGATCTTTGGGGTCCTGAAAGGGTTAGAACACATGGAGGGAATTGCTATTTCCTCTCCATTATGGATGATTATAGCAAAAAGGTATGGGTGTACCTACTTAGGTCCAAAGATGAAGCCTTAACTAAGTTTAAAGGCTAGAAAAACCTGGTTGAAAACCAAGTTAATAGGAAGGTGAAAACCTTTAGGACAGACAATGGCTTGGAATTCTGTAATCTGGAGTTTGACTCTCACTGTGTAGAAGAGGGAATTTTGAGGCATAGGACAGTTAGGGGAATCCTTCAACAGAATGGGGTTGTTGAGAGAATGAATAGAACCCTTCTAAAGAGGGTTAGATGTCTCTTATTCATAGCTGGTCTACCAAAAACCTTTTGGGGGGAAGCACTAGGTACAGCAGCCTATCTTATAAATAAGAGCCGGCCCTTCTAGCTCAATAGACTTTAAGTGCCCTGAAGAAAAGTGGTCTGGGAGGAGACCATCTCTTGAACCCCTAAGAGTCTTTGGATGTGATGCATATGCAAATACCAGAGATGGAAAGTTAGAGCCAAGATCTCTTAAGTGTGTCCTTTTGGGATATCAAGAGGGAACTAAGGATTATAGGCTATGGGAAAGGGCTGCCCCAGGGGTTAGGGTAATTGTTAGTAGGGATATGATTTTCAATGAAACCGTTTTTCCTTGCAAATCTGGTACTAATAGTGCAGGTAGCTCACAAGAAGAGTCTGAAACTTCTAGACAAACTGGGACAACTCAGTTTGAGGTGGAACCTGAAACTAATCCTGATCAATACATCTAAACAGATGAGACTGATCCACTTGAAGATCAACCACAGCAAAATCAAGAGCAGAAGGATGAAGATCACCCTACTAACAATGCTGAAGTGGATCAGCATGGTAATCTGGCCCAATATCAATTAGCCAGAGACAGAGTCAGGAGGGAGATCAGACCTCTTGCAAGGTACAACTATGCTGACCTGATCTATACAATAATTCTGGCTGGTTCAGAGATACATCGATCAGAACCCAACACTTATGATGAGGCAATGAGTTCAAGGGATAGAAAAGAATAGGTGGCTGCTATGGAGGAAGAGATGGAGTCATTGCACTCAAACAAAACCTAGACACTAGTTCCAAAGCCAAAGAATCAGAAGTTGGTGGAGTGCAGATGGTTGTACAAACTGAAAGAAGGGATAAATGAATCTGACCCACCAAGATTCAAAGCAAGGTTAGTGGCTAAGGGCTACACTCAGAGGGCAGGTATTGATTTCACTAAAATATTTTCTCCAGTAGTTAAATTTAAAACTATTAGAATCATGCTAGCAATTGTTGTTCAATATGACTTAGAGATAGAACAACTGGATGTTAAAACCGCTTTCTTGCATGGTGAGTTGGATGAGAAAATATTCATGAGTCAACCTATAGGTTTTAAGGATAAAAAACTGTCTGATTATGTATGTTCACTGAATAAATCTCTGTATAGACTTAAACAGTCCCCTAGACAATGGTACAAGAGGTTTGATGCATTCATAATAGGAAATGGATTCACTAGAAGCATGTATGATAACTGTTTCTATTTTGCCTGTATGAATAACATGCCAACCTATCTTCTGCTATATGTAGATGACATGTTAATAATTACTAAGTCCATGTCTCATATTAATGCTTTAAAGGCCAAATTAAATACTGAATTTGATATGAAGGACTTAGGGAAGGCAAAGAAAATACTATGAATGATGATTGATAGAGATAGAAGTGCAAATACCCTTAAACTCCATCAATCCTCATACTTACAGAAACTGGTCTTAAATTTTGGTATGAATGAATCCAAAGCAGTGACAATGCCCTTAGCAAACCATTTCATACTTAGTAAGTCACAATCCCCAAAAACAGATTCAAATAGGCTAAAAATGGAGAATGTCTCTTATTCTAATGTCATAGGTTCTGTAATGTATTCCATGATATCCACCTGACCTGATTTAGCATATGCAATATCACTATTAAGCAGGTTCATGTCAAATCCTGGAAATGAACATTGGAATGCTTTAAAATGGTTAATGAGATACATTAATGGCACTATTCAGATTGGTTTAATTTTTTGTAAAAGATATGCATCACTTGATCTGGTTGGGTATGTAGATGCAGATTTTGAAGGTGATCGAGACTCCAGGAAGTCCACAACTGCTTAATACTTTACACTGGGAGGCAACTGTGTTAGCTGGAAAGCACAGTTGCAACATGTGGTTGCACTTTCCACTACTGAAGCAGAGTACGTAGTAGTTTCAGATGCATTCAAGGAAGCAACATGGTTGCAAGGGATTCTGAAAGAAGCTGATCTGTTGAATGGCACAGCAACTGTTTACTCTGACACTCAGAGTGCAATCCATTTGAGTAAGAACACAGTGTATCACGAACGAACAAAACATGTGGATGTCAGGCATCACTTCGTCAGAGACCTGATTGCAAAGGGAGAAATTAATCTTTTAAAGGTGCCTACTGAAGAGAATCCAACGGATATGGGAACCAAAGTGGTGACCACAGCCAAGTTCAAGCACTGCTTGAACTTGCTTCACATCAGATAAACACTTTCTCTCAGAGCTGAGAAGAAATATAGGATAACCTACTGCACTAAAAAAGAGTCCAGCAATGGAAAAGAAGAAGGGAAATAAATCAAAGGAAGAAAGTTGCCTTCTAGGTGGAGACTGAAAAATAATGTGAAGCCAAAACGGGGTCGTTTCATTTAAGTTCATTGAAGGAATTCTAGCCGTCAAATCAAGACAGATCCAAGGGTTGATATTTGCTGATATGGGCATATATAAAAGAAGCAACAATGATGTGAACTGCCGCATCTTTTGTTAATCTGAAAGGTTAGGGTTCATGAGAGAAAAATTAGAGAGCAACTAGGGTTGAGTATTTGCTGGGTTTTTCTGGGTATAATCTGGGTAGATTAGAAAGAGGGTTGCGTTTCCTTCTTAAGGCTGGTTTTGTCTTCTGTTTCTTGCAGATTATTGAGAGATTCTTGAGCGAATAGGCCTAGGTTAAGTGTTGATCTGTTTTTGCAGATTTGTATGGTTGTCTTCTTGTAATCGTTGGATATTCTTTTAGTGTTGTGAGTATCCATATTTTGGAGCTCAATGTGGATGTAGTCTATCCAAGATTGGATAGACGAACCACGGTAAATTCGTGCCTTAATTTTGTGTGTGTTTTTTATCTTGAATCTTGATTGTGTTTGTTTGTGTTGCGAATTGATTAATTAGGCTTGGGTTATAACAATTACTGTTCTCATGTGTGAAAGGAAATTTTACTGTGAGCTGAAATCTGAATCTTGAAATGACATTGTCGGTGTAAGCATCTGGAGACAAGTTCTTTCCTAAAGTGTTAGCCTTGAAATTCAGTATATCATTTAAGCCAATCGCAAGAAAGTATAGAGATTGTGTAAGAAGACTTTTAGCTGCTTGTTCACCGATTCTGGATATAATATCTTGCCTAGTTTTTTCGAAGTAAGAGATTTGCATATCGAAATTGATAAGATCACCCTGTATAAATCCGCATATTGATAATATTTCAACAAAAACACCATGATTGTAGTAAACAAAGAACTCTATTAAATTGAGTAGAAATATTACAAAGAACGCTCCGGTTTCATTTAATAGTCCTGCTCCAGAAGAAGCATAATTAACACCCTTTAGAATCATGTCTCCAACTGTTGTTGGAGCCATGTAAGGAGGAGTCAAGTTTTCAAAACCCAATTCTTCTCCTGGACGGAACAAAATTACAAAAAACAAGCTCTCAACTTCTGAGTGTCCAAGTCAAAAGTAAAATGAAGGACACAAAAAAATAAATAAAAACTTGCCTATCAAGTCAAAAAATGTTCTATTATTCGTATAACGTCCTGATGGACCTGTAGTACCAAAATCAATCCCATTCGGACTAACTGGCTTTGCTATTGTTTTAATATAGAAGTTGTTTCCTGCATCAGCCAACGAATCTCCAAAAACGAAAATTGCTGGAACACTTTTTCCTGAACAAGTACCTACAACTAAGTAGATTGTCAAGACTTGGGAAACGTACCTGAATGATTTGAGTCTCTCCATCACCATTCACCAACAATGTACCAGGACACTAGAGATAGCACATGCATGCGCTTTATATATAGTTAATTTTAAGACGAGAACTCACAGAGTAGTAAAAATTTGTGGCCTAATTTAAATCACGTCCCCACTACAAATTTTGTAAACAAGGATAACCTAACGCTAACTTGCTATGTATGCCAAGCAGCTTTTAGATTCGTGCCTAACACAGCCGCAGGATCATTCTATTACTTTTCTAAGATGGCTTGATTACCCAACGAACAATATTAATTACCAAACCAGTCAAGGTTCGAGTTCTCATTTAATTCGTATCGAAAACTAAATTTAGGTATACAATATTGGTTTATGGTATTGTTGATTTTTAGTAATAGACGAGAGCTAAATTTAGGTGGGTTTTAATGGGATTTTATTAGCTAAGATATATATTTTTGTGATGCATTCTTATATTGATACTATATATATAAGTTCAATTTAAGTATTAGTTTTACTTAATGTTGATGCGATATTTCATACCAACTAGAGATACCTAGCCAGCTAGCCAGCCTTGGAAGGGACCGAGCAAGATGTGCCCGTGGTTACTGATAACCAGCAAGATCACTAAAATGACGTAATAAAGTAAAGAATAAAAGAGATTTTATTGTGGTTCGGTAGCATGAAAACCAAACCTACATCCACTGTTATGTTATTATTGCGGTGTATTACAAGGTCGAATGAGGTTACAAAGGGAAGATCGCGAGACAAATGAAGGCTCTCGCGACCTATTCTCTCTAAACTCTCTTTAAAAAGATCAATATATTTTTCTCTTGAACTTTACTAATACTGGACTCCCTTGGAATGGAGGTTGTGGGCTCCTTTTATACTTGGCTCGTCTAACAGTGGTTGAGAGTGGGTGTTACGGAGTTACTTACACGCATAACCCCCTTAATTAGGATCTAAGTCAGTAATCCCCATACTTGTGACAGGTCAGGCCTTGCTAACGGCAACTTAACCTATGCTTTTGACAGTAATCATATTGAGAGAAGATATATAAGCGCTGATGAGACGACACGTGGGAGAATCCATGCCATCATCCTTTGACACATCTTGGTCGAGACGCGTGGCACGATCTGACCGTCAAGGAAGTAGGCACAACACTTAAGTTTTTTAACAATTGAGTCCATAATTAGGCCGAAAGATTATAGACCATACATGAAAGCATTTAATGTCCGGTTTTGTATTAGTAGGATTGGGTAGGGTTAATTTGAACAAAAGGAATAAACAGGGCCGGCTTAAAGGGTAGGCAGGTGAGGCACCTGCCTAGGGCCCCAAAAAAATGGGGGCCCAAATTTTTTATAATTTTTTTTCTTTTTTTTGAATATCTTACAAAAATGAAAATGGTTTATAATTTCTTATTTAAACAAAAGCCATAAAAGGCCAAATTTATTATAAACTTTTTACATATATTCCCACCCAAAGTTTAACAAAATAGCAAGTTTATACCTCTAGTTTTATATATTCTAGTTTATACCCCTAAATTAACACATTGAATCTCTTTTAACAATGGAAGACGAAAATAGTCATTTACATATCTCAAATAACTCACCCCAATTCAATCTCAAAATTTGACATTCACATAAATCATCTCCAGTCCTCTTCTGCCACCAGTGGTTTGGAGTTGATTTCGGTCAATTTTGGTTCCGGTCGATTTTCTCACCAAAATCGACCGAAATCATCATTTTATCATTTCCCAACCTTGATAGCCCTCGATTTGACTAATTTATGGTGAATCTCGCAACCCAACTCCACCACACGACAGCCATTTCCAACCTTTTTGGCATGTACCCGACATTGTTGACCTTCCCCGACACCACCATCTTCCTCCCCTCAGCCCTCTCACCAAAACCCTTATCATACCTTATCTGTTTACTCTGCCAATCGCCGGCCATCGATACCTTTTGGACCTTGACTTCTCAAGCATTTTCTTATCAATCTTGGCATTGGAAATCACCCATTTCACCACCCATCACTTCTCCAACATCTACTCTCCAAAACCCCCCACCAACCTAATATTGTTAGCCTGTCGATTGTTGTTCACCTCTCCTAGTGATTTTTCATTTCAAAAGGCAAAAAAAAAAAAAAAAATGAAATAATTTTTTTAATATATACTTATATTATTAGAGGGCCCCAAAGTAACTCCTGCCTAGGGTCATAAATGTTCTAGAGATGGCCCTGGGAATAAAGGATTAGGCAGTGACTTTTAGCCCGCCATCTTTTTTTATCTTTAGCTCTCATCTCCTATTTTAAATAAGGGTATAATAATATTTAGAGAAGTTATTATCAGTAGTAACATATTCAAAAGTTTTAAGAAAGATTTGTATACATGTTCATTATTTTGCTTAAAACTGAAATCTTTTAATATCTTATATATGTTTGTATGAAGTTGTCAACTCCAAAAACTATAAACACCTTGTTTGATTCAAGTTTCAATAATTTCTACTATCGCTTTTCCATTTAAATAATGTAGTTGATAATATTCTTCAAAATATAAACTTAAGATAAGAATCAGAAAAAATAAAAAACTACTAAAGAATTCTTCAAAAGAAGATTAAACAATAGTTTTGTTTGGTTTAACAGGATATATATGAGATGAAAAACACTATGCTTACTCACCACTTGTACTAACTGCCATACAACCTTTGTTAAAATTTTACATGGTACCCGTACTATGCGTATAGTACCAGTACTATGCGTTATATTTATAAAGGATAGTAAGATGGTTAGTAAGATGGTGAGTAAGTATAGTGGGACTGATATGAGATATACGAGATCTAAAAATAAAGGTGAAACATTAAATAGTGTTGGATGGTAAAGCATGCAGAATGAGAAATAGACACGTGTCTACAAAGTGGGCCCACATTCAGAGGACAAAGCTTGCAAGAGAAGAGATGAAGCCGCCCTGGCCAGACCCTATCTGCATGAAAAGAGCTTCACCAATAAGAATGCGGCTCGGATACCTTTCCACGTGTCCACTTAGCATAAAGATTACTTCACCTACTTAATTAAGAATACGACGCCACATGTCACGATATATGTGAATTACCTCATATCCTAGATGAGCTATACTACTCTTACAAAGACAAAAACAAAGAGACCATACAAAGATAATTTCCACCCTTCATCTTCATGATTTCTCTCTCTCTCTCTCCCTCTTTTTCCGTTTTTTCTTTGTTTTTTCCTTCCTAGTGATGTCACTTTGTAGCTCTCTTTGTATTGTCTTTGTAAGGATAGCATTTTTCATCCTAGATTACCTTCAAAATATTATAAATAAGGAGTTCTCACTCCGTATAAGAGATATCAACCTCTCCTTATTATAAGAGCCAGGGGCGAATCCAAAGTATGTAAATCGTCCACCCTCAATTTAATTAAAAAAAAAAAAAACTTTTAGGAAAGGATGAGAAGTTTTTAGATTTCAATATTTTGTAATAATTAAATAATTATTTTGTGGTCCTAAAATTTGGAAAAAAAAATAATATATAGATAATAGAAATAGAAATATAGATAGAATTAAGGAGGCTTTTATTTTTATATATTGTTTAAGATTTTAAGTTGATGATTGAAAACAAATAGAGAGGATTATAATGTGTAGGTTTATTTGGTTGATCATGATTTTTTTTATTTGCTGAAATGACAGATAAAGATAGGTAACAGCACTAATAGTCTAATACTTTAATATTATATTTCAGATTATAATATTTAAATAATGTAATTTGTAATATTCTTCAAAATATAAACATAAGATAGAATCACCAAAAATAAGAAACTACTAAAAAGCTCTTTAAAAGAAGATTAAAGAATAGTTTTGTTTGGTTTAACAGGATATATATGAGATATGCGATCTAGATCTGAAAATAAAAGAGAAACATTAAATAATTTTGACAGTTAATACAATAAACTGATTTAGTTGTGAAATTATGAATTAAATAAATATTTTTTATTACAATTATACTTACACTTAAAGTAAGAGATGGCAGGAGATATTTGACAATATGAATTGTTTTATAGCTCTATTTTAATTGCTTAACAAATCTAATTGCAGTCAAGTAGTTATTATAGTGTGAGTTTATATCTCATATAACATAAATCTGACTTGAGCATCAAAAGATTTATATCGACAAATTCTCTTGTTGTTAGTCTTCTGCCTTTGTTCTTTTTTTGTCTAAGACTGGCCAGACTTGAAATTACCCTTTCACTTGGACAAATTTGGACCAAGATCAGACTTGTAACAAATTTTTATTCTTTTAGATCAAAACCCTAATCTTTAAATTTTGAATTAAAACTCTACTATAGCTATACATCCAAAAAAGAGTGAAACCCTAAGGATTATGTTTTTTTTTTTTTTTTTTTAAATGGACTTTTATGAAATATTTTCAAACTATTCACCCTCTTCCCGAATCCCGAGTCTCATCGAGAGTGCCCAGATCCTATAAGATAGGGATACCCGGGAGGGGCGTGACAAAAACTCTACTATAGCAACATGCTAAAGAACATAAATATGTTATATTGCCAACAGTAAGAGTAACATTGCCAAACAAGGGGGTAGAAGCAGTAACCACAAGGTTCTCAACACCCACCCCCACCACTTTCAGCTCCTATACCACCGCTAATGCCTTGAGAAGACTCAACTTTCTCCAGTTTCCAGCATTCCGCTATCCCTATCACCAATAAAAACATCATACCTACTACACCGACATTATACTTGCAAAGTTTCATCATTGTTATCTCTAACCAAGGGAGTAATCGGAAGCTTAATTAGTGGGAGGCTTACTTATAGTGTAAGAATATAGTAGAAAACGCTCTTGCACATGTAACTGAAGTTTCTCTTCTTGCACATAGAATTTGTGAGGAATATGTGACGATCTCGCTTTGTTGATGCTTGATTTTGACACCAACAAATTGCACGTGTAAAGTGTTAAGCTGTTCTTAGAAATTACATGTGAATGATTAATGAAATATGTTTATAGTGCTGAGATGATATATCTTCGATGAAACATAAATAAAAAATTGACAAGAGAGATTTTTTTGGTGGTTCGGATGCTTAAAATGAATCTTACATCCACTGTTATTTTATTATTCTCTAGCTACTTTTATGATATTGTCTATAAGATATACAAAAATGGAAAAAAAACTTTGTTTACAAAGAAAAAATAATAAAGCTCAAATTTGTCTAGCTCTCATATACTCAGCCAGCCCATTTTTTCGTGAAGAAAGATGTTCATTTATACATTTGAGGTCAATGTAATGAGTGTTTTTACAAGTTGTCTTGACATGTGAGAATCACTCCTTAATCTTTATCTTAAAATATAATATGATTGATATAAAATATCTCTTGGAGACGATTTGAGTTTTTAACAGCTAATACTACCTTATTTTTAAGTGTTTGTTGAACTCTGATCGGTGATGCTAACATTAGTGTATATTTTTGTCACAACAATTTTCATCTCTTTTTGTTTACGAACTGGCCGGTAAAATCATACCCATATCAATGTTCTCAATTATGATCGAATTGTTCATGCATGCCTTCAGGGGCATATCCAGCCTAGTTTTGGGTGGGCCGCTCATTTTTTTTTTTTTAAATTCTAATATGTACAATTTTTTTATTTTGACTCATCCTAACAAAAATATTAATATGTAATTATTTTTTATTTTGACTCATCCTAACAAAAATTCTTGAATCCACTACTGCATGCCTTATTACATTTAGATATGTAAATGGGACGTAGTCTCACTATTTTTAAATTGAAGAAAAAAATTCAAACATGCCTTTTTTACACAAAAATTTAGGCTCTAGATCAAATACCAATCTATAATTAAGATTAATACGTAATGATCTTGCTTAAGGTGAAAATTACGTAATGATCTTGCTTTGTTAAAATTCGAATTTTTTTTCTCTTTTTCTATATATATAGAACTGGCTGGTAAAATTACTTCACTTGCTTATCGATATTTGTCATGCATGCATTACTTCAAATATTAGATCATGATATATCAATTCAAGAGTTAAAACTGAATTCCTGTATTGTGATATCAAATTAAAACTTACTTATTAACATATGCCAATATTAACCATAATCAAATTAAAACTTTATAAAAACACATATATTAATAATAAAGGTGGACGACCATTTAGGTATAACTTTTATTTGTTTTAGTTGTTACTTATAGAGATTTTAACACTCCACTCCGCGCATATTTATATGCTACGAAAGCCTACATTAACACATGCAGAAGCATGGTTTTATACAAGCTTGCTTACTAGCTAAAACTTTAGGTTATATTATATAATCAAAACCCACCACCAAAACCTCCACCACCTCCGGCTCCACCACCTCCTCCTGCTCCTCCACCTACACCTCCAATTCCTACTCCACCACCTTTGCCTCCTCCAAAGCCGCCACCTGCTCCGCCTCCAACTCCTCCACCACCTCCAGCTCCACCTCCTAAGCCACCTCCGGCACCCCCACCAGCTCCTCCTCCTACACCACCACCTTTACCTCCTCCAAAGCCACCACCAGCACCTCCACCAGCACCTCCACCAGCTCCTCCTCCAAATCCACCACCTTTACCTCCTCCTAAGCCACCTCCAGCACCCCCACCAGCTCCTCCTCCTAAGCCACCTCCAGCACCCCCACCAGCTCCTCCTCCAACTCCACCACCTTTGCCTCCTCCTAAGCCACCTCCAGCACCCCCACCAGCTCCTCCTCCTAAGCCACCTCCAGCACCCCCACCAGCTCCTCCTCCAACTCCACCACCTTTACCTCCTCCTAAGCCACCTCCAGCTCCTCCCCCAGCTCCACCTCCAAGGCCACCCCCAGCACCTCCACCTGCACCGCCTCCAAGGCCACCGCCAGCACCTCCACCGGCACCACCACCACCCCCAACCCCAATGCCACCACCTTTACCACCTCCTAAGCCTCCACCAGCTCCACCTCCCAAGCCTCCGCCAGCACCACCCCCACCTCCAAGTCCTCCACCTCCTCCTGCACCACCCCCACCGCCTATACCACCACCAATGCCGTCAGAAAAATCATTTTTCTCAAGCTTCCGGCATTCCGCTATCGCAATCACCAGAACAAACATCACAGATAGTAAACCAACATTCTTAGAAAGTTTCCCCATCTTTCTATAAGAGGAAAATGCACACACAAAGAGACTAGAAATAGATTAATACTTGCTTGGTGATGGTAAGCTAGCTTTGTTAAGCAGCCTTATTTATAGGAAAAGAACTGTAAAAATCATTAATGCATGCAGTTGCAAACACGTGCGTTCATGTTCTTCTGACGAGAACGTACTAATCTTTGCTTATTGAAAAGTCGCGGAATTCAACTGAGTTTGAAAATGGCCGGTGAAATTTTAATGAAGATGTCCCAGTCTCAACTACTAACGTAACCACTGTCTCCACCGTCAATCCAGTGTACAGACAGCTGCTACCTATTATCTCCAGTGAGTTATGAGCTTCTACTTCTAGTACTGTTTCGTTCAATATCATTCAATCACAAAACTACTCTCTGTCACCCCACAAAATTTCAAAGCTTTGCAATTAATGCTGGTTTCTTTCTTTTTAAGCGTAAACAAGAGTAAGATTTTATATAATCATTTATCAATTAGATTTTGTCGACTTAGTTTATCATTTTTCCTGGAGGGACCAATTATACAGCTAATGATGATAGGCTTTTGAAATTAGATATGATTGTTGCAATCAAATTCTACGAACTTGTGACTGTCACAATGGATATAAATAGGGGGAGTGAAATCCAATTCTTAACAAGTAAAAATGAATAATGCCATAATAAAAAAGAGTAATAGTACAGCAGTTCTGTATGATACTAATTAATAAGATTTGACTTTTTTTTCATTTGAAGAAAGAGGGTTTAATGGGTTGGTTATAAGCCCACATATTTGGGCCAAATCTTGATCTAAGTTAGGCCCAACTCATTCGGATCCAGAGCCCAACAATTCATCCTTTTAATGGACCAATCCAATGAACCAACAACCAACCCGGGTTTATGCTTGTGGCCATGTGGGCATGCCAGTTGCCAGATAATTCGAATCAAAATGAAGGCGTTTTTAGACAATTCAGACACCCGACTCATCTCTCTTCTCTAAAGAAACGAAAGTAACAAAAACTCTGCCCTAGACTGAAGCAGAACAAAAACAGAAAGTAGGGTTTTGAGCATCAAGCAATAAAAAAAAATGGACGGTGCCGATGGAGCAGAGGTTGATAGAATCGTCGACTCAAAGGACTTACAGCAACAGAGCAAAGCATTTGATAAGCTCACTGACCGTGTCGAAGATCGTCAGCTCAATTCCACTCGTGTGCAAGAGGTAAACAAGCTCAATAAAAAATGATTTTTTGTTGGATTATATAAATAATACGATTTTGTAAAATGAAATATTAGTTTTTCTTTTTTATATATAATTTGGTTTATTAATTGTTGTTTGATGTTGCAGGCAATGGCCTCGATTGCTGGTTCAAAAGAAGGAGATTTGAATGCTATGAGATTGAGGTTAGTCCTTGTATCTTAATTTTAAATTGCTTAGGGTTTAGTTGTTATGATAATAACTGATTGGGCTAAATTGGTTAGAATTTTGGAGCACAAATTTGGAAAGTGAAAAACAAGCAAAGAAAATAAAATAATACATGTGGTTTTTGAAGGCTACTAGTTCGTTGAAATTTAAGAGTTTTTGGGATTGTATTTACTGTAATTTAGTGGTTACTTCTTTGTAGTTATTTGAACTGTATATAGTTTGTTTAGAAAGGGTCATTGCCTGTTGTGATGGCGAAAGTTTGAAGGAATAGCATGTACATTGTGTCATGACCTTATGCAAAAAGTCTTAAGAGGAATGACAATGTACAAAAGCCGATATGAGGAAATGATGTTCTTATGGATTGTTTGCAATCAAAGGAGATAAAATGATCTGAGACGGTTTAGGAGTAAACTTGGATTATTATTATTGTTGTATTGGTTACCTTTGGATGGACCAAAGTGGGTGACTAGGGCTTCGAAAGAGCTTCAGCACACCCAAACGGCCAAACTGATGCTTTCTATAACAAGCTTTGTCACTTGAAACTTCGTGTTCAAGAGATTGGTGCATGCAGATATTTATTGTTCAATGATTTAACCAATAAAGTGTTTTTGAATGTTTGGTTGTGCACTAGAGATGAAGTACTAGTTACTTTCATACCTTTCTAATATTTTTGAGTGTTATCATAATTTTCTTAATGTATCATTGAAATCTAGACTTGTTAGTGGTTTTGAGTGGTTATTTGTTGTTTTAATGAAATTCAATTGAGCTTTTAGTTGGGTTATTTCAAGCACATTATTCTTTTGATTATTGCAGGGAGAAAGAATTAGCTGCTGTCAAGATCAATGCAGCTGATGTCGACATAATTGTAAATGAACTAGAGGTCAGTTGGCCACTTTCTAGCTCTTTAAAATTATGCATTTGCCGAAGGCTTCTAATATTTTCTTTACTTTGATTTTGAGGACAGTTGGACAAAAAGGTGGCTGAGAGAACCCTACGTGAGCACAAGGGTGACGCTGTCGCTGCCATTCGATACTTACTCCGGTAGAGATCAGTGAAAACAATTTAGAATTTTAAATTTCAATTTTTTTCCCGAATCGGTTTGAGTGTTGAATTATGAACCTGGATACATATAGCTAAGCCGTTTTTGTCTGTATAATAAACTACCCAATATTTAAACATGCATGTTATCCATCCAAGGTGATTTGGTTAATGCCAATTGTTGGGATGCTTTGATGATTGCATATTTCATTCTTTGTAAACATCTATCAATGCGAGACTACTATATGAATCTTTAAAATGGACCAAAGGGTACATGAAGCCACTGGTCATAATCTGTTTATTGACATGGTTGACATTAAGAGATAAAATTTCAGTCAAAAAAATTTCTATTGAAGGAACTAAATTTTCTGTTGGTATTAATTTGTTGATATTCATGAAAAAATCAAGGAAAAAAACTAAACTGTTATATATGCTAATTGAGTAAGACTATATTTACCGATTTTATAGACCAACTCCTCATCTCGATTGACATGGAATGCGACGTGGTCAAGATGAGGATTTCTCACGTTGCACTCCACGTCAGTCGGGATGGGGTTTGCAGAATCGCTAATGTAGTATTTTCCATGCTAATTTCATCTGTTGTTTCTAATGTCATTTGCCTTCAAATTCTCCATGATCTTTTCACTTTTTCACCCATCATGACTTGGTTGACATCTTGAAAATTCTATGTATCGTTCTAAATCTCATTCCAAATTCTATGAAATCATTGAGAATTCTATGTCCCAAAGTGGGTATAGTAAGAAAGGGGTGGACTGTGCTGCCGAACAGCATAGTGGTAAATAGAGCTCCACATATACACCTTTTTCCCTGTTTTCATAATATCTACTGAAATGATTTTGACCGAACAAGGTATCGAGTATTTCTAAATCACGCGGCAACAGCCACGATCCAGGAATCTGATTTGCCCCAAAATTCTTGTCAGAAAAAGTCTACTCAAACTGACTGACTTATTGGATACCAGCACACAAATTAAAGCTTGCTTTTAGGCCATATGGAATGTTACAACTAGATGGTGACATCAGAAGTTAGTGCCTCACCATGGACACAGCAGAATTATTGAAGTTACATCATACTTTTAAAGTCATCTTGAGGGGAAATTATAGCCCTTCATGTCTCACTCAACCATCCCATGAAAGATATACTACTGCATAGTGCAGATCTTATCACAAATTTTAATGTCTAATATTACTCATCTTGTGGCAAAAAAGAATCGAATGAAAAATTCAAAACAAAACTGTAGATTATTATAATTTATATATAAGCCACGTGCTCTAATCCTCTAAGTTTACACACTCCCTTTCATCTCCATTGGATCTCAGTCTTGAAAGTACCTTAAGCAATAAACCCCACCCTGTTTACAATGGATTGTTCCCGTCTAAAATATAAGGGACATCTCCTCTCTTTCACCATTTCAGGTTAAGATGTCACCTTTCTCTCACTAAAAACAACTCTCTCTATAAGAATAAGGATTATATCTATATATACTGTCAGGTTTATATATATATATATATATAGTAAATGTCCATAAGCTGCAGCTGATGAACAAGGTGGACAATGAGATGGGCAAAGTCAAATTGCAGAGTGGGGAGATATGATCTGGTGCACATGTGATGGATCCCAGGGAGGAGATCAGAAAGAGGAGAATCATCACCTATAGTAAAATGAGTCACACATGCACAAACACAAAAGCATCCATCCATCCTTAAGCTGACGTTAGACATCACCCACCTCTGACTCTGAGCTGGAAACCCACAAGTTAAAGCAAATCCAACATCATTACCACTTTAATAAATAAAAAATGCAAATATTAATAATAATATCACTTCACTCTCTATGTACTCCAATGGGAATTATGTTTTCTGTACAACTTTGTTCTTTCTAACCGGGTACTGACATTCTCTAATCAAAACCACAAATGGGTGACAGGCTTTCACCAGACATGACTCCATTTCACAAAGCTCCACTGACAGATTTTGTCAAGATTTTTATCATGCCAGTATAAAAATAAAACATTGCATGCATTGCACAACCAAGCAATCACCACAAAAATTATACAGCTCACATGTCAGCAACAGCCCCTTTTTAACTTTTTGTTTTCTTTTTATCTGGCAGCTTGAGCTTTGTGCTTCATGGTTGTGCCAATGCAGAAGCTTTTTAGTGGTAATATGTGGTAGCCATCTGTTTTTCACCAGCGAAGAAATGCAAATTTTTTTGAAAAATAGTGATGATGCTTCCAATTAGCAATACTGTGGTTGAAGGCAATGGAACTGAAACATGGGAACTGGGTCTATAAACTATAATTCCTTCTGCGTGCTATCTCCTACCGCTGACCGGGATGCCTGGAATTGGATAATAAATTTTCTCTGCACATCTCGAAGTCTATCCAGCAGTTCCTGGAATGATGGCCGGCGCTGAGGATCGCTGTTTCAACAAAGTTGATCAGCATGTTATCAATAACAGAATTTTGTAAATGTTCTACTCAAGGGAACTATTAAGGAAAAGAAATACCATTATATGTAATTAAACATTGAAAAATGATGATGTTACAATTAACAATAACTCCATTGACCTACCATACACATCCCAAATTCCTTCATCACTAGTATAATGGGAATCCAAAAGATAAATATCTAATGAGAATCAACCGTGAAGCCAAAATCAAACCCAAAAGCATTCTATGTGTACCTCAAAACATCAAAATTGTCAAACATATCAACAAATCGACTAATGAAAATCTAGTTCTAAGTTCCTAACTACTAGGAATTTGCAACAGCCAAGAAAATCCCTATTAAGGGCAATGGAACTGGAGAATCTAAGCAATATAATTAATCATCACAAAAATATCACAGCAGTATATTTGGTGGGCCTGGCATGATTCATATCCAGAAAACAAGGCGCATATGTACCTCAATTAATTAATCTACCAATATTTTCAAGAATCTTCATCAACAACTAAGACAATGGTCTCACATTGTTTTATTGGGGAAGGCTGTTTAGAGTGGGGGATCTCTGATTCTCTGGTGCTAGATAAGGCTATAGATATGAAAAGCAAACAAAGTAAGAATCATAAATAAGCACCTGTGCCAGCAGCTCTCAATTATGGAAGCCCACTGCGGATCCACATCTTTTGGGATCTCTAATCGTTGGTTCATGAATCCTACAGCTCCAATCACCTGCAAGTATGCTAAACAAGTAGTTCATAACTTCATATATATAATATCCAATACACATTGTTGTTTAAAAAAAATAAAAAAAACTGGTTGCCATCAAGAAAATTCCTCCTTGAACAACTTGATGTCTCCTTTCGAAGACTGTAGAATGCATCTCATTGTGAAAGTATGACACAGTATATTACTTTCAGGATGTCTGTCTTTATAATTTTCCAAATGATTACTATACCTGCATGGAATTGAGATTATCCCAAGGGATCTTCTCAGTGGCAAGCTCCCACAATATCACTCCAAAGCTGTATACATCAGACCTGAGTTTTCAAACAGCAAAAACATAAATTCATTAAGTTTGGCAATTAAGTAGAAATGAAGATCAAGTATGAGAAGGGACAATACTTAAATATCCAGCTTAAAGAATAACTTACTTCTCATCGGACGGTTCATTACGGAGAACTTCTGGCGCCATCCATTGAGGCTACAAAATAGGAGCAAAGTGAGCTGATTAGATTGACGGTTAACTGACTTAAACTCCAATGCAGCCTTGTAAAAGAAGAAATAGACTTATAAGAATGAAATTAACCAATGAAGAGGACAGTTGTGTCCAAATAACTTACCGTTCCCTTCCCAGTCTTGGTGGTGAGATATGTCTCATGCTTGAGTCGTGACAGACCAAAATCACCAACCTGTTTCAGATGAAAAGTAGATTACACTTTTACTTATTCAAAATACAAATAAACGCAATGAGAAGAAACAAAAAAATGGTTTTATCAAAAATTCAGAAACCAATGCCAGACCTTCACAGTCCAATGTTTATCAACTAGAAGATTTGAAGACTTCAAATCACGATGGATGATTGGGGGGGTGCAATGATGAAGATAACTCACGCCCCGTGCCTGCAATGAATTTCGCAACATTAGAAATCATGAGTTACCCCAAGAGGAATACAATCAAGCTACACAAACACAAGTTACTAATATCAGGCCACACCAAGAAAAACTTCCAAAGAATGTCTACGGCAACACAAAAGAGGACGACAAAAGTGAAAGCAATGACTCAAAAGAAATGCAATAAACATATCGCACCACTATACACAAAATAAACTGATCATAATTAAAAAATAAATATATAAATATTTTTGAGAATTACTTAATACTCACTATATCTAAAGCCATAAGCACACGTCGTCTCCAATCGAGTTTAGCAGTGTTCCTTTGAAGCAAGCGAAACAAACTTCCCCTGCACCAGAAAAACATAGTCTTAAGGGATGTCCTTCGGGCCAAGAAGTACACTAGAAATTAAGAATTCAAAATCAAGAAAATTAACTCAACAGAAATATTAGGTATCTTAGTATGGACGAGGCGTGGGTAAAGTATTTCAGAAGAGTGCTTGTAAAGAATTTTCATGAAGGAAGTTGAGAATGAACCGTGGAAGAAACTCTGTAACAATGCAGAGACGCTGAGGTGAAGTCACAGCTCCCATAAAGAGCAGAATGTTTGGATGTCTAAGTCTTTTCATCAGAGATACCTTCATATACAACCATTCCGCAACATCAGATTAGCCTCTAAAATTAATAATAACAAAATCAAGAGAAAGAAATTTGCATACTGTGATAGCTATAAACTAATTTAAAAGAGAACCGATTGTAAATAACCAAAAATAGCATACAGCAATATCTAAAAAGAGAATCTAAACAACCAAAAATAGTATACAGCAATCTAAAAAGAACCTGTAAATATATTTTTATCAGTGAAACTAGTAGTTACAAATGTGATATGAAGAAATAAATAAACCTCAATTATAACAAAGTTCAACAAAATGCTATTTGAAAACACATGAAACAATCAGACAGCAAGATTAAAGTACAACAGAGTTCCATAGATCTTGCATACAGTTATGAACTAAAATCCAACAAAAAGTATATGCTACAAGTATTTCTCTAGATTACAGGGTTGTAACCGAACAAACTTCTTTAAGTTGCTTAAATCATTCTCAGTACTATGGGAGGAACAAAAGATGTTTGTCTGTCTATGTACATGAGCAAGATAAAATTACAATGGAGCTCATTAAGCTGTCAGGGAAAGGCTTGACTTTTCTTGGTTTGTTTTTATCACAAGAAAAAATCCTAAGAACATAAGTAACTTAACAATGATATGATAAATGATTATATGATAGGAAAGCGCACCTCTTGTCTAAAGGAATGTATCACATCATCTGAATATTCTTGCTTGGAGAATACCTTGATGGCGACATCCTGCTGTAACATAAATATAGCTATATTATACATAATTAGCATGAATATTCTAATTGTGATAGTGTGATTTTCCATAAGACATTCCTATCACTGACATAAGACTACTGTTCTTATTTCAAAAATACATTAAGTTTAAGCAACAGCATAAGCGCAACACCTAAATCATTTGTTTCCAATGAATAAAAAAGCAGAGTCCCACTATACTGCACATGTACAGACCATATATTTTGGTTAATTTGTGCCACAATTTAATGGATATGTAATGATAACACTTAAATATCTCATCTCAAAGAAAGCAACGAGGACAATATATTCAATTTATGCATCCTCCAAAAATTTAATTTATTAAAAGAAGAGCAATAGAACATACTGATCCATACCACAGACCATGGTACACTGTACCGCAAGAACCTGCAGAGACAAGGGGAAAATGTCAAATTTATATCAGACTCATACATAGCCAAGCGAAACTACATTTACATGGCAATACATCAAAATACAAACACTGTTGCAGCTAATCGGTAATTAGCCTTTGACAAAAATTTATGATACCAACATGAGCATATTCTAGGAAATTAAGAGTAAATAAGCGGTTCCACTTAATGAAATTGACATTCCTGTCATTCTTGTCAAGCCTTACCAGAATTAATTAAGATAAAAGTTTCCCTTCACTTGAAAGATGATTACCTTGCCCAATCTGCTCTCCAATTGTCAAGTCTTCCCACAAGATTTCATAATCTAAGCAGTCATTGTCCAAGTCCACCTTATTTACAGCACTACTGCTGGTACTTCCACAGCTGCTAGCACTGCTTGTGCTGTTAACGTTAACAGATGAGGACCAGGATCCCGAGGCCTCATTATTTGAAGGCTTATAACCTTCACTCATGTGGCTTTCGGATTTTGTACCAGAAGGACTCTTCTGCTGTATCAATTCACTTTCTTGATCATTTTGTGTCCAGGGCCAAGAAAAACGACCGGACTTTGGCTCTGAAATTTCGCTCTCATTTCCTTTCCATGGCCATGATAGGCCTTTCTTACCCATCCATTGTTCTGCCTTATTTGTAATAATCTTTTGGATTGTAGGTTTTCCTTCACCCTCATCACCAGAATCTCTAAAAGGCTTAAGAGGGGACCTCTCATCAACAGGAGTAAATACACCAAAAGGAGATGGAGGTATATCTCCTCTAGGCGTGCTAGCACCACTTGAATTAGCATCCTCCCTATGATCAGAAAGACCTGCATCAAAGAACCCATGATCTGACAGATGACTATCTCCACTTCCACCTTCACGGTCCATGAGATTTTCTCCCGTCCGAATCTTTGACTTAACTTTGTTGCTCACCTTAGTTGCCTGCATTCATTATTTTGCAATTTAAGCATGCCACTTATAAATAACTCACACAACTATCAAAACCAAAACACTAACCAAATTTGATATTTTCGAAGCAATTGCAGCTTGCAGAGGCTGTTGAGAATCAAGGCCAAGTTTAGCTGTAACACTATTTCTAGGACGACCAAAACTCGAATCTGGCTCTGAATTTTTAGCTCCCAACATTGCGACCCTAGTTTCTAGGAACGGTCGAGAATCACTGGACACACAAATAATCCCAACCAAAGTACCATCATCATCATAGAATGGAGTATTGGTAACAACAGCCAAAAACCTCTCCCCCGTTTTATTCTTCACAGGAAATTGTCCCGTCCACCTCTCCCCCATAGTAACCCGATGAACCATATTATGTGCCACATCAAAGTCCCGAGGATCTGACAGAAGCTCAATGGCATTATGACCTAGAGCTTCAGCAGCTGAGTAACCATAAAGGTTTTCAGCTGACCGGTTCCTGCATAATCAACCATTTCCAAATAACCTAACTATTAAATAAATTAACACACAACAGATTTCTTTTTTTTCAATTTAATCAAAGAAAGCTCAAGATTTTTAGTAACTAAAATCATCCCAAAGAAAAAAAAATAAAAAACACTTAGCTGAACTAATTACTCACCAATAAATGATACGACCATCAAGATCAGATATGTGAACAGATTGCCCCATAGACTGCAATATATTCAAATACTGTCTATCAGTAAAATTCACAAACGCCGGACCACCACCACCACCACCACTACTACCGCCGGCGCTGGCGCCACCACTCTCACCACTTCTGCTCTCTCGTTGCAACGGTGAAGAATGCCGAAACGACGCCGAATTCTTCCATACAGTAGCGGGTTCTTTTCTTCTCGGAGAAGCTCCCAATCTTGAGCGGCGAGGCGAGACCGAATGTGAACGCTGGTGCGGGCTAGTGTCGGATTTAGAATCTTTAAGCTTGGACATCTCCTGCTTCAAGTGGGCATGGCCCGCTTCAAGTTCTTGAATCTTCTTGAGAAGCTCCTCAGCTGGCGGAGTATTGGCGTCCATTATTATTACTATAAGCAAAATCAACGAAAATTATAAACAACTGAATTCATCAACACTCTTCTTGAAAGATACCCCTTTATTATTATTATCCTTGAAGCTCTAGAAACTCTATCTATCTCTTTGTGTGTGGTCAATTTACTCAGAAAAACAATAGAAAAAGAAAGCAAGTGTTTGAGAGCCAGAAGCTGTTTATTTACTTAATAAAATAAAATAAATAAAAATAAAAATCACTTTTTCAACTCCTTTCTCGTCTGGCTAGTGGCCTTTGCTTATTCTCTTACAGTCTCTCTCTGTTTTGGGCGGTTTGTTTTTTTTTTTTTTTTTTTTTCTCTCTCTCCTCTTCTATCTGATCATTATCAATTGAATCTTACTATTTAGACCTTGTTTATTTTTATTTATACGACAGACCAAACTTATTTCACTCACGCGCCATCAAATCGCGTGGCGATTTGAGGCCTATTGTTGTGCTGGTTTCCAACTAAGGTCCAAACCACTTGGCGCGTAGAGTGAATTTTCTTTTCTTTTTTTTTTTTTTTTTTTTTTGTCATGACTTTTCCCTTTCAACTAAAAGCCCGCCTATTTTGGGGCACCTTTAAGAGTTGTTGTGTTATGTCCACCTACATTTTTGATACTTCCACTCACCTTTTTAGTTCATGCAAATTGCAAAGTCGTCGTTTAGATTTTTAAATTTAATAATGGGGTTTAATTAATTAATTAATTTAGGTTAGCTTCATGCTTGGATTACTTTTTATTTACAAAATGCTCATATTCATTGGACTTGCTTGTATGTTGTGTCATTTTGTAGACCCCATTGTTGGTATAAATTAACTCCCTCTTAATCATTTGGTGAAACGATAAAGATTCTTGAATGTATTACTCAAAACGTTTTGAGTTCGATTTTTCTCAGTAGCTAATAAGAGTAATCACCGAAGGATTTACAATTCAAAGTTTATATTCAAGTTCCATTCTTTTAATCTTGGCCTTGGGGACTTGAAAGCAAGAGGCAAAGTTTCTCTTGTTTAAGTGCACAGCATTATTGAGGGCGTGCACGCAGAGAGATGGGGACAAAGGCCACAAAAGGGGATGGTGGGCGGCATGAAAGACCTTGTGGTTCACTTGCTCTTTATCGAAGAATAATAATTGATGACTAAAAATAGAAACAGAATGATTGTTCTTTAATGTCAAAAAAGTTTTTATTTACTATGAAACAGAAACTTCCAAGCTCCACTGCTTTGCTTGCATCCTTATCTCCAATCCACCCAACATTCTACAACTCTTTATTTATTTGACCAGTCTAGTTGATGATGTGAATAATCAAAATCCCCATCAGACAGCTAAAGCCAGCATGTTTACAGAACATTTGTTAGGCTGCTTACATAAGATAAACTGCAAATGCATCAGTCCACTGCTTACATAAGATTTTTTTTTTTTTTTTTTTCTTATAAGTTAATTTGTGCGCATCTCAACTAGTCTCTTGGGATCCTAAAGTTAACAGTCAGATAAGTCTCCAGTAGAGACCCTTTATTAGTAATAACGGAGATTCAAACTTAAAACTTTTTCAGTAATACATCTAAGAAAATCACCAAACTACCTAGAGGTAGTTTACGTAAAGATTAATTACATAGCATGTTGACATTTTTGTAGCTCAAATCTTCAACTACTTTTCTATTTGTCTAAGTTGTGGACTTGTTGTTCAACTGTTTAAAAAGGGTTTTCGTTTGCTAGCCCAATAGGTCAACCAAATCACCCCCCCCTGCAATAGCGTCGGGCCTTTGCTAGCTCAGTTTGCAGGATCCCAAGTTATAAAACATTCCATATGTACCCATCAGGCAGTAGACAAAATAAGAGTGATTATCAGAGCAAATTTGCAGTTTTAGTGTATTCTCATTCTGAGAGTAATCCTGAAGACTAGCGTTCTGCCAGTAACCCCGAATAATATGTTACATTTATCATGGAAATTTGATATAATTCATTGTCATATATCTAGAATACAAGCTTTCGACCGGGAAAGATGTAAATAAGTCCAACTGTAAGTCGGTAAAGACTTCACATTATGGTAACCTTAACAACAATCTCAACTGAACCAATACCCTCGTGGTAACCTCAACTCCAGCTGGGAGGTCAGTGGCACAGAGGATATTGGTTTAGCCCATTATCAGAAAATAGCAAGCACAAACAACTTTACTGAGCTGGTAACCAAAATTCCTACATTTATTGACAAGCATTAGTTGAATCAGGTGGCTAAGTAGACCGTGTAACTGGGTTATGCAATACATACTCTTGAGTATATACCAGAATAAGCATCTCAAGTTAAGTTTGAGAAAGATCCAAATTTCGAGCGTCTCATGGGAATAATCTAGTCAACAACGCTTTTTGATCCTCTCCGAGACAGTGGAAGTTCAAGGACAATTGAGAAATAGGATTTTTCAGACTCTCTGATATATTGGACTTCACCGTTCATGAGCTTTAAAATCTTCCTGCACATGCTCAGCCCCAGGCCCTCCTGAGTCATCCATCGGCTGGTATGGAACATGTCTTGAACCAGCTCTGCAGGAAGACCTTCACCAGGGCATACCAGCCTTGATAAAAAATAAATGCGTATATCAGTCAATAAGTAACAAAGAACTCAACAGGACCTGCTTTACATACAATTAAAGAAAATAAAAGTGTTCTCCATATCGCTGCAATTGATCATGATAGAATAATATAACGTGTTCCCACAAACAATCTAACAAATAAAAGATCAATAATTCAAAATCATATAAATCACACAACTAATACTTTTTCTTTTGTTTTGTATAATTGTAGAGGCATTATTGTACTGAAAAATCTAACGTGTAATAAAAATTCTATGCAAAAATAGAGCAAGTTAATGATTTGGTCCCCCTTGAATGGAAAGTAAACCACTTTTTAGGGTACCGCATGCTTTACAAAACAGCCATCATGTATAGGTGTTCAAGCAAAAACATTGACCAGATAAAAATTAATTCAAAAAGCAAGAATTACAATAATAAAGTATAGTTAGACTAAAGCAATCTAGGTCTGTAGACCATAGTATTACACAAAAAACTTTTATTAAAGCTATCACAGACTCATAAAGAACATCACGGCTCAAGTTTAAAATGAAAGGAGTTTACAAAAGCTTTATTTAAAAATAATAATAGCAATAACAATAATCACATATTGGCAGTGATCTCTTTTTCTCTGTTTAGAACAAAATAATAATTAACCACAAATGATATAAAACGAAAATGAGACCAACATACCTGAATTCAGCATGCAGAATTGTTAGTCCCTCAGAAATTTGCTTTAACGTCGGACGAACATGAATCTCTACCCAGCCTTCCGTTGGTGGAGCACACCGAACCATATTAAGCAAAAAATCAGCTAAAACCTGTTGAATTCTTGCCTGATCACCACAAACAGCCAGAGTTTTGATTTCTTCTGGAATATCCCGAATCAATTGTAAGCTTCTTTCTCTCAGTAACAACATTACTTGGCTAACAACAGCATTTATGACACTCCCAAGTAAGAACTCAGACTTCTCAAGCTCCAATGAACTAACTCGAAAAGCAAATATAAAATGAGATTGTCTTTCTCATTGCCAAAATAATAGTTAATACAGTGGAAACAAATGAACATCCAAGAAAACATAAAGAAATTGTTGAAACTATCACATAACTATCACATTATGCTAAGTGCTACAATCCACACTAGTAAGTTACATATTGAAGGTTTCACGCAAGAGCAGCATATATACTGTTAAAAGACAGTAGACCTTATTGTTTCAACAAACATATAACCAGCAAATAACCACATAGCAGTGCCCAAAAACTAAACTAAGGTGCATATAAATTGATGACACCATTATTAGTAAATTTCATACATGCAGTCAAAGCACAGTGAAACAATATTATACTCCCCCAGTTCCAGAATTTTAGACCCTTTCAAAATCATCAGTATTAAGATGAGAGAATGTGATTGGAATTCTAAAATCATCAGGCACATAAATGACATGGTTTATAAGATTTCGTACCCTTAGAAGTGTTTTGAACTTAAGTACACGGAACAGTAAAAGCAAGCAATATGATAACCATAAAAAATCTGTAGGTCATAGGAAGCTTACAAAGTTGTCTAGCTAGGCAAATGACTTTTGGTAGCAGAGAATAAAGCCTAAAGGTTTTAACAGGTTAAGTCAAAGGTCTTAGTGACTACAAATAGTCATTCTGTTACTCTTTTATGGCCAATAAAGTTTTACTATCATATAGGAAGACAAAAAAAGCAATAAATGCCAAAACCCAAATGAAGACAACATTAGCAATAACACAGTTCAAAGAATTCAAAGAATTCAGTATACTACTAACATGTTAAATCACTCATGCATCAAAAATCCGTAGGTGGGAGGGGTGATCTTACCCATCTTCAATGCTTTCCAGGTCTACATCCTTTATGATCTTTGACATCTGCTTCTCACAAGCAGCACTAGTCTCAAGGAACTGCTTCTGATCTTCAGTCAAGTCTGTAGCCTCCAAAAGGGAGTTAGTAAAGCGTATACCACTTAAGGGATTCTTTATTTCCTGGCAAATGTAAGCCAACTCTTTTAACCTAGTAAAGCATTGCTTCTCCTGCTGCCTCTGGACTTTCAGAGCCTGCTGCAATTCAGGACTAGCAATTTGCAAGAAGCAGAAAGCTCCTACATTCTGGCCTTCCATATTTACCCTTTTGTTGGCTGTCAAAAGGGCTTGCACATATTTCCCATTCCGATCAAAGAAGGCAAAAGGAAACTTGTCTGTGTCCTGTCCTCCAAATGCATTGTGCAAGACAATCATGAACTTTGTCAAAGCATCTGGACCCTTGAGCTGACAGCAACTGCCAAAAACTTCCCCATCCAACATCTTCCCAATTATCTCCCCCCGAGGCCACCCAGTGAGCTTTTCCATGGCAGTGTTCCATTCCAGGCAGCATGTGTTTTCATCTGAAGCAAATATGGGAGGGATCAAAGGATTGGGACTGTGAACAATGCCCTTGTAATCACCTTGTATGTTAATAAATTTGTCCATCACCACTTTCTGACCCGTAACATCCTGGCCAACAAAGCAAACTCCAACAATGCTATCTGTGTAATCCTTGCTAGAGCAAGCATTGACCACCACAAAGACAGCTTTCTTATAATTTTCCGAGCCAAATGTCCTCAATTTCATCTCTACATTCTTGTCTTCCTCACCTGAACTAATTAAACTTAAGTGATAGAACATTCACTATGCTACCAAAAATCAAGACAGCTTCAAAAGCCGATAGTATAGTCGCAAAAATTCTGATCAGTTATCCACTAACCAATACTGATAATAAAACTGTCACCATCTAACCTATGAACAAGGAGACTCTTATTTTAGCCATGAATATGACGTGAAGGAGACAAGAAGGCACCATTGTCTTGTTCCATCTAATTATTTTGCAGTCACTGAGTTAGCTCATACCTATCCGAATATCACTGAAAACATGAGCAGTTTGCATTTAATGGTAAACACTCAATGACTTAATGAGGTTTGAATATTTATTCTTTACTTTTCAGGGTTGAAGAGTCAAAAAATGTAATATATTGCTTTCTTACTTTTTTTTATTTTTTTCTTTTTTGAGGAGTTACTAAATGCAAAGAATGTCTAAGGCACTACCTAATCTTTTTTTTTTTTTTTTTTTTTTTCACTCAGAAGACATTGGGACAACCCGTGCAAGCGAAACTGGCACTATATGCATTACATAGCATTTGAACTGAATCAATTTCAAATGATTTGATGATGCATAGATGTACTTTTAGGATGTGAAAATTGATACCTCAGAATTTCATTTATCATTTTTGCCACTGATTTTAGGCAAGAATTCTTTGTCTTGCAATGCTATTTTTCCAGTATACTTGTTTGACAAGTATAATGATGGAATGGAACTATTGCATTTCCACAGGATGTCAAAACACATTTAATAAACCCTTTGAATAGGCAAGAATGAAGTCATCAAATAAAGGACTACCTCTTAACGCACGATGCAGAAGATTGTCAACAGCTTCTTCATATTCCTTAAAAACAAGATCATGAACCAAGGACTTCCCCATTGCTTCCTCAACTGGTAAGCCAGTCAACTCTGCAACCTTCGCATTCCACCCATTAATGAGGCCATTGACATCAACAGCAAATATGGGAGCAGTAGCAGTCTCTATCAACCTAACCATTTCCCTGGCAACTGAACTGAGTTCATCCATTCCTTGCAACTCTAGATCCCCAAGCTGTGCATTTACAACAGCCTTAGAATTGCTTGCTTCAGCGTCTCTAAATGAGTCTCGCAAAATCAGCTGCAGAGAGTGAATTGCATCCATTTCAGCATTTTCCCATGGCAAACTGCGGCTCTTCACCACTTCCAAAAATTTCTTGAATGAAGAACGTGGATGCATCCTTTGTCCATCATCCTTGTCCTCAGGGTGATGCTTAGCACCACCCCATTTGATTTCTTTTGCTGTATGGGACCGGAACCAGAATAGAAAATCCCTTTTGGTGATATAAGCAACAGCCATCCCACAAACTGCATCTCCAAGTGTGGCTGCCTTGGGGTACCCTGCATCAGACAAACTGTCTGTGCTCAAACCAGTTGAATCTCCATGAGAAGTCAACAACCAATCCACAATATCCTTTATCTGGGCTTCAGTCGGGGTCACACCTAGACGGTAGTACTTCCCTTGGTAATAGAGTGCTGCCCCATCACACTTGACAAGGTCCATTATACTAGGACTCTGAGTAACAATGCCAGTTGGAGAATCACGAAGAAGCATATCACACAATAGAGTTTGGGTCCTCAGAACATGTTTCTCAGACAACTGAGATGCCAAATGCAATTCCATATTCAATTGGAGTCCAAAAGCTTGCATCAGGAATTCGCAGGCATAACGGAGTGGAAATGGAATGCACCGAGCAGAAGTATGATGGCAAACAACCAAACCCCAAAGCCTGGTCGAGTTCCTTCCACCAATAGCTTCCTCATCGTTTCCATTAATAATAACCGCCATGGCCAACGAGGCAATTGATCCCATATTAGCCATATACTGAGAGTGACAACCATGAGGTGCCCTAAGTGTTGAACCAACCAAACACAAAGGTTGCATAAGCGCTTCATCCTGAATCACGCAAAGTGGGGAAGCATGACAATCAACAATCATCCTAACCCTATTCTGCTTAAACAGAAACCGTGATGCCTGAGGAATATCCATAGCTGGATAATGCAACCCAATATAAGGCTCTAAATCAGGCCTTTTACTCTCAGCCACAACCTCACCATGCTCATCCTCATGAAATTTATACACCATAACCCTATCATACCCTGTTAGGTGTCTCACACTCTCAACAACAGTATCACATAACAGTTTAACATCTCCCCCAGGAAGTGACTGCAATTGCGAAATCGCGCGCACAGCCAATTTCTGAGACTGCACAGCTCCTGCAATAGAGAGAGCAGGATCCTCTGTCCTCGCAGGCTCTAAATCAATAACTATCCCTACATCAATCCTATGCAAAATCGCGTAAAAGGGCGTCCCCGAATTCTTAGAATGAATCCAAACCGGGTTCAACAACGTAATTTCCCTCGCACCAAAGGCTTTCTCAAGTAAAACAGAACTTGATGGAGTGAAGAGCGTCCGTACATCAGTCCCAATTGTTAAAATCTCTTGCTTTTCAAGATTAGGCACTGATTGAGGAGTCAAACCTAACATTTCACCGGCGTTTTCACTATAAGCTATGACTCTAAAGGAGGGTTCATCGACGGCTATCATACAACCAAAGGGTTGGATATGTCCACCCCTTTGAATTTTTGACAAATAAGCACTGATTTGTTGCTCTGGAACAGATTGGCTTGTGGTTCTAACAGACTGTGAATAATCAAAGGACTTACCTGACTCCCCAGATTGTTCAAAAACTGCATGTAGCCTAGCGTCAACAGTGTACTGAGCAATGGCTTTGCTCACAGTCACAGAGTCTGTCGCGGTGTTATGACGGGGCCTTATGTTGCTCGTACCTGAAGATTGTGCTTGTTGCTTTTGAGAATTTCCTGCTTTACTACTAGAAGCCATTCAAATGTCCACTGTTTTTTTTCGCAAACAAACTAAACTAAACTCACTCGCTTGTCTTGTAACTCAACCTGTTGTTTTGGAACTAAACTACCCACATGAAAAGAGAGAATTTTGAAACTGTTTTCACTCTAAAAACGGAAAATTTGAGAGATTTCGTGTCTTGAACGGATCAAAAGAAGGTTAAAATGAAGTTACACAGTGAATGTTTATTGATAATTTGATACCCCCTTTTGGAAGGGAAAGAGAGGAGCTAGCCGGTGAAAGACAAAAAACAATAAAGGTTCCTTTGTGGGGTTTTATTTGTTTGATTTTTTTCTTTTCTTTATATTTTCTGTGCTGGAATTTTTTGTGGGTATCGAGATAGCTACGGTGGTGGGAAATGAGCATAGAGGAATTTGATTGGACGGCATGTGGTTTTGTAATTGGGCCATGGCAGACCAGATTTTTTTTCTCCTTGTTCTTTGAACTTTACAACTTCTGGGTTTCGCAAAGAATATAATTATAATAATACACCCAATCCCAAGATGGACCAACATCGTACACACCCCTCCTTTGTTTGCACTACTTGTTAACCAACTGTGGACCAGCTCCATTTCTAACTATGTCGCTATTCTTTAACTCCTTTTTTTAGATTTTATTCCCCCTAATTTTATTATAGTACTCACTAATTAAGCTTTATAGATATAGTAGATAGGGATTGATTGTTTATTTCACTTACTGATACTGATAAGAGTACATCCTTTATTATTCTTTATTTTAAAAAAAAAGTATCTTTAGTATGAATAAAAAATAGTTTTATTAATTTCTAAATATGATAGACAAAATTTTTATTTAAATTTAATAGACTCTTTAAATTTAATAAAATAGACTTTTTATTTTCAAGAAAAAGACTTAATGGAAGAGAAAATTAATAAATAAAATATATAAAAACTTGTAATTTATTAATTAAAATTATGATAGAGAGTAAAAACTTTTTAATTTATATTTAAATGATAAAGAATATGTTAAATCCTTATTTTTATAGGTAATTTTTTATAATAAAGAGTTTTATTAAATGTTCTAAGCGGCAAGGCAACCGAATAGGAAAAAGAAGATAAAAGTGTGGACAAATGGACTGGGATGCAAATTATGCAAAAGAAAGAATGATGCCCTAAGACCTAATCACCCATCAGAGTAAGAATGATAATGACTCTTAAATGTATTATTTAAAAGATGTTAAATTTGATTTTTTTCGATTATTAATAGAGATAATCACTTAAGAGTTTATTTTACAATTAATTTTAGGATTTCAAAAGATAAGTTAAGATGCATTCATGATCACAAGAAGAAAGAAAAAAAAATTGATGTCCCATTGCTTTCAACAATGCTTATCATTTTCCAGTTGCCACACCATCGACATAAGCGTCTCGACCATCGTGCACCCACGTGAACTTGATCATCATTTTGAAAAAGTAGATTCCATCAATTCATTCACCATTGCATTTATTTTCTTTTATTTTGATTCCCCTATTCAAAAATTAGTGCAGGCTCTGTATACGGGAATGAAACTTACCATATCATAATACTAGACAGCTGTGAAATTTTGGTACCATTCAACAGTCCAAAAAGGAGAGATTCTTCTGATACAACAAATGTCAACTCTGTTATTACTGTGGTGAAAACCAGAAACCACATATTCTTTTATGGAAATTTTCAGTTTGTTCAATAAATCATCATCTGGAGTTCTATCTTAATGAACTTGCAGATACAACTTACAAAATGAAGGCACTCGGCCTCTGTGATTCTCAGTACAAACACTAGTCTACAACTGAATGATAATAATAATCCCAGCAAATCGCAACCTTGATAATAAATTTGCTTTCCGAAAGCAGAAGGCGTGGCCATGGCCAAATGATGGTGACTGTATTACTTGGTGTAGAGAACATCCTCCCATGGGTGACGGTATAGAGGCTGTTTCAATCTCTTCTGGTCAAAGGTATGCCTGAAGTTTCAAACAAGAAGCAATCAGTTAGATGTATGAAATTCAATTCAAAGAGGATACAGAGAGCACATGGTGCTCTTACTCTTCATGATCTCTTTACTCTGACCCACCCTTTTGAACTCAATATCACAACCAAGTATTTCCCCATATTAATATACCCCAAAAAATATGGAACTGCATTCTACCGTTGCGGATAAGTCCATCTTTATCAGTGAATATGCAGGACAACATCTAATTAAGAGCAAAAGTCCTCTGATCATCACAGCCAAGTATTATACCATAACAATAGAGATACCCACAAAATATGGAACTGCAGACATTTTGTCGCAGGTTAGTCATATCTCTATCATTATCCCCACAGCATCTAATCTGAGATGGGAATTGTCAGTGGTTACAAAGGCTGTTAGATCAGAAGCCCCAAGCTCCGACTGTTGATGTGACAATATGAAAGATTAACTGTACACTAATGAGCAGACAAGCATGGCCCAAAAGGGTTTAGACTTTAGATAAGAAAAATCTGACGTGTAATTTAACTTACCCAATCAAACCAATTGAACGTGCCAGTACAAAGAGTCCATTCAGATAGCCAATCTCAATAATCTCATCAATCTCTTGCTTGGTGAACATTCCGCTGCCAGCAAGGAGATCCAAGAAAAGGGACCCAATTGCACCATCTACATTAAGAACCAGGTTATTTGCCTTTGAAAGAGTGTATGTTTCAACTTGAACTGCATATTCCATGTACTTCACGGAAGGGAAGTTTGTGCGTGCAAATAGTTGTAGCAACTCCACTCTTTTGTCTCTGTTATCTCCTCTCTTAATCCTTTTTTTACAAGAAGCAAACATAAGTACATCAACACAGATTTGTACTGGTGCAACTAAAGCATAAATTTCAAATGTTAAAATTTGATGATTTTAGAGATCTCAATACCTGTGCCCAATTCCTGGCACACGAATGCCCTTCTTTTTCATACTTTCAACAAACTCATATGCTGTAAGACCCTGAAATGACAACCAGTGGATAACATTTCAGTGTCTAGAAATCATCCAAGCAATCAAACAAAAACATCATGTGGGTACCAGCCAGCTTAGCGAGTAAGACATCTTAGATCAAAGTCCCCTCACACTGAGGTTGGATGGGTTTGGTTTAAATTTGTAAGTTTGAAGGGGAGTGGGGAAGAAGAAGAACATTAAGTAATCCTACCAAGTAAGTTCCACTAAATCTTACCCTGTCATAAGCATCCTTGAAATACCTAGCAGCATCATCAATGGCACCACCAAATCGGGGACCAATTGTGAGCAAACCTGTTTCAGAAGCTCATATTTAGTTTTTCATTGTATAATTAGTTTTGACGAAACAACTTTAACTATGAACTGTTTTAGAAGATGAGAGAACCTAACAGCTACTATTTACCTGAGACAAGGCTGGAAACAAGATCCTTTCCGGCTCTTGCTGTCACAATAGTGTTGTGAGCACCGGAGACGCAGGGACCATGATCAGCACACAACATGATACATATCTGACCAAGTTCAAATGCATTGTTAGCATGTGTTTATTCAGAAAAAGAAGAAAAGGGGGAGAAAAAGCTAAATAAGATACAACTTTCAACAAATACCAGCTATAGACTATAAATTCATCAACATATCAGCACAAGAAACCTACCTCAATAAATTTGGTACAGTAACGGGGAAGGCTGCGCTTGAACCACAAAAGAGAGATAACATCACCCACCCCATAACCTTGTTCTACAATGGAAGACATTGGCACACCAGCATAGCATGGCTCCTCACCTGCAGATTGTTATATAAAAAATTAATACTGTATCTAAGCCCTCAATCACCAAAACACAGCTTGAGAAAATAAAATGAATGTAAATAGTACCTCTGTCATCAGAGATGGTCGAAATAATATGTGTCGGAGCCCGAACTCTCCCACTCTTAATTGCAATGTTAAGATCCTCAGGGATTTGTGGAGGCTTAACTTCCTTCACAGGGGTAATCTTCCCCGCCTCAACCTAAAGAGAGAACCAACCGTATAAGAGACTAAACTGGTTATGAAGGCTAATGAAAATTTGCCAGCTTTGAGACTAACCAATTTCTCAAATGTCTCCTTAATTGCAGTTTCTAAAGCTTCATATGATGTAGGAACAACAGCTCCAGCATCCTTCAGTGCTTGATTCTTTGCCTGAGCAGACTCCAGCTCACCACCACTTTTAGCTCCCTGAATTCATCAATTGCAAGGAAGATTAAGGATGTGAAAGCTACTGCGTTGAAAAGGATTTAAAAAATAAATAATAATAAAAGAAAGTTCCAGGACAACTGAAGTAAGAACTTACAGCATGACCAAATTGTACTTCTGATTTGAAGAGTCGTGCACAAGTTCCACTAACCCAAGCAACCACTGGTTTATTCACTTTTCCCTGTTTCAAGGCTTCAACCAGGGAATACTCATCTTGCCCTCCAAGTTCCCCAAGAACAACTATCATCTTAACCTAAAGTTGATCAAACAAAAAGAGATTAGAGAGAATAAAGAAAAGCCATGAAATGTAAGAGAAAAAACAATAGCGCAGGAAAATGGACAAAATCTTATAATTTGGTTTCATAAGAAGGTGGACATTATGAAAATAAGAGTTTATGCCATCCTAAATCTTATGTGTATTGCTTCAGGTTGATAAAGTATAATGCCCAAGCAGGAAAACATCAAGGGAGTAACTAAATACAGTAATTTACCTGTGGGATGTTGTTAAACCGCAAAACATGATCAGAAAGGGTTGAGCCAGGAAAGACATCTCCACCAATAGCAATACCTAAAGAAGTTCAGAAAATATTCCAAATTATGTTCCATCCCAAATATATGCAGGTAAAAGCAAGCATAAAGATATATAAATAACTAAATAGCTGATGTACCTTCATAAATTCCATCTGTCACGCGAGCAATAGTATTGTATAGTTCATTTGACATGCCTCCCTGCAATTTTAGGAAAAATGCAAAAAAATAAAAAATCATTATTTTTTCACAGCTTCCAACATATGGAATTATTCAAACTCAACTGCATAAGATGACTCACAAGAACAAAATGATTAAAGTATTAACTCACAAGAACTATAAAGATTAAACCCTAGATGACTAGACTTTGGTGCAAGTCTGGAGAAAATTACAGATTGTAATAAGGGCATATTGAAGGGGTAGACTCCACCTTGGTATCTATCCAAAGAATAACATCCTCAATCTCACAACTTCAAATTGTAGAACAAAAACTGTTTTAAAGTC